TATATATATATATATATATATATATATATATATATATATACATATATATATATATATAAATATATATATATATATATATATCATCATAATTATCAGCCTGACTATGTCCACTGCAGGACAAAGGCCTCTCCCATGTTCCGCGAGTTAGCCCGGTCCTGTGCATGCTGTTGCCAATTTATACCCGCAAACTTCTTAATCTCATCTGCCCACCTAACCTTCTCTCTCCCCCTAACCCGCTTCCCTTCTCTGGGAATCCAGTTCGCTACCCTTAATGATCAGCGGTTATCCTGTCTACGCGCTACATGCCCGGCCCATGTCCATTTCCTCTTCTTTATTTCAACTATGATATCCTTAACCCCCGTTTGTCCCCTAATGCACTCTGCTCTCTTCTTGTCTCTTGAGGTTACACCTACCATTTTTATTTCTATTGCTCGCTGCATCGTCCTCAATTTAAGCTGAACCCTCTTTGTAAGTCTCCAGGTTTCTGCTCCGTAGCTAAGTACCGGCCAGATACAGCTGTTATATACCTTCTTCATGAGGGATAGTGGCAATCTACCTGTCATAATTTGAGAGTGCTTGCCCATTGTGCTCCACCCCATTCTTATTCTTCTAGTTACTTCAATCTCGTGGTTTGTCTCTGCGGTTATTACCTGCCCTAAGTAGACATAGTCTTTTACAACTTGAAGTGCACTATTACCTATCTGGAAGCGCTGCTCTTTTTCGAGGTTGTTGTACATTACTTCTGTTTTCTGCAGATTAATTTTAGGACCCACCTTTTTGCTCTCCTTGTCTAACTTCGTAATCATGAGTTGCAATTCGTCCCCTGATTTACTCAGCAATGCAATGTCATCGGCGAAGCGCAGGTTACTAAGGTACTCTTCATTAACTTTTATCCCTAACTGTTCCCATTATAGGCTTCTGAAAACCTCCTGTAAGCACGCGGTAAATAGCATTGGGAAGATTGTGTCCCCCTGCCTTACACCCTTCTTAATTGGTATTCTGTTGCTTCCCTTATGAAGAAATATGGTAGCAGTTGATCCCCTGTAGATTTCTTCCATGATTTTTATATATACTTCATCAACGCCCTGATTCCACAGTGTCTGCACGACTGCTGATATTTCTACTGAATCGAACGCCTTCTCGTAATCTATGAAGGCCATGTATAGTGATTGGCTATATTCTGAGCATTTCTCTATTACCTGATTGATAGTATGAATGTGGTCAATTGTTGAGTAGCTTGTTCTAAATCTTGCTTGTTCCTTTGGTTGATTGAGTTCTAATGTTTTCTTTACTCTGTTAGCAATTACCTTTGTAAATAGCTTGTATACTGCAGAGAGCAAGCTGATCGGCCTATAATTCTTCAAGTCCTTGTCATCTCCTTTCTTATGTATTAAGATGGTGTTAGCGTTCTTCCAAGACTCTGGTACCCTTCCCGTCAGGAGACACCTCGTAAACAGGGTTGCTAGTTTTTCTAACACAATCTATCCTCCATCTTTCAGCAGGTCTAATGTTACCTGATCCTAACCAGCAGCTTTGCCTCTTTGCATGCTCTCCAAAGCTTTTCTGACTTCTTCTATCATTACTGGTGGGGTGTCATCTGGGTTACTGCTAGTTCTTATAGTATTAAGGTCGTGGTTGTCTCGACTACTGTACAGATCTCTGTAAAACTCCTCCGCTATTTTAACTATCCTATCCATATTGGTAGTTATTTTGCCTTCTTTGTCCCTTAGTGCATACATCAGACTTTTGCCTATCCCAAGTTTCCTCTTCACTGCTTTGACGCTTCCTCCGTTTTTAAGAGCGTGGTCAATTCTCTCCATGTTATACTTTCTTACATCGCATACCTTACGCCTATTAATGAACTTCGAAAGCTCTGCCAGTTCTATTTTGTCTGATGTACTTGAGACTTTCATGATTTGACGCTTCTTAATTAGGTTCTTCGTTTCCTGGGAAAGCTTGCCAGTGTCCTGTCTAACTACCCTGCCTCCAACTTCCACTGCACACTCCGTAATGATACTCGTCAGATTATCTATCATTGTATCTACTATAAGGTTGGTTTCCTCACTAAGAGCCGAGTACCTGTTCTGCTGCAGCGACACTCTCAATTCCTGTACTTTCCTTATCAGTGCTAGCACATTGATTGGCTTCTTGCGTATCAGCGTATCAGTTTCTATATATATATATATACGTGTGTGTGTGTGTGTGTGTGTGTGTGTGTGTGTGTGTGTGTGTGTGTGTGTGTGTGTGTGTGTGTGTGTGTGTGTGTGTGTGTGTGTGTGTGTGTGTGTGTGTGTGTGTGTGTGTGTGTGTGTGTGTGTGTGTGTGTGTGTGTGTGTGTGTGTGTGTGTAACCCGATGCCGTGGGCCAGCTGCCGAACCACGTGAATTTTAACTCGATCCATGTGTGGGATGCGAGTAAGTGGAAATATGTTTCTCTTTTTCTCTCTCAAACTTTCTCTCAAACTCTTTAAGTTTGAGCACCCAGAGAGCAACTTGTCCAGAAAATTTCTTAGGAGTGGATAGCCGACAGAGAGCGTTGTGTTCTGTGACGACGTCAAATGCATGACCATAAAGGTAAGGGCGAAATTTCCCAAGGACATAAAAATAGTTAAATACCCTTTCTCGGTCACGGAGTAGTAAGGCTCGACTTTCATCAGAGTTCGGCTTGTGGAGGCAAAAACATATTCATCAAACTCTGCCTTTTATTGCCTGAACACTGCGCCAAATCTAACACCACTCATCAGTATGAACCTCTGGTGAGAGGGGCAACTCTCCGGCTAGCACTGTGTACTGGCGTAAGTTCCAGGTTCTGGCTGGCGTTCCTACTACTGGGAAGAGTCTGTTGCATAGGGAATAATATCCAGACCCTCTACCAATACAATTTCACGTTCTAAATAAAGGTGATATTTAAAAATTGGCTACAGAAGGTCCGAGTACCGAGCGTGGGCGGCTCAGATGATGATGATTATCCTTCTTATACTGGCGAACACCCACAAAAAGGGGCCCCGCCACGGTGGTCTAGTGGCTAAGGTACTCGGCTTCTGACCCGCAGGTCGCGGGATCAAATCCCGGCTGTGGCGGCTTCATTTCCAATGGAGGCGGAAATGTTGTAGGACCGTATGCTCAGATTTGGGTGCACGTTAAAGAACCCAAAGTGGTCAAAATTTCCGGAGCCCTCCACTACGGCGTCTCTCATAATTAAATGGTGGTTTTGGGACGTTAAACGCCACAAATCAATCAATCAATCACAAAAAGGGACTGGCCAAGAACCGGGCAGCAGGATTTTTAAGTAAAAGGTTTATGGTTTTACAAACACAATGTAACTTTGGGCGACGGAAATATAGAAACATCTGATGAAGCTCGGACCCCGAGCGAAAAGTCACTAAAACTGCTTCGCACGCATGCCTGTTTTGACTTTTCGGTGAGTATTGAACCAGACCCAAAAGCCCTTTGTTCCTTTATATATATTATGAGACCACGTACGCAACGGCAGTAACCAGCTTATCTTTTTGAATCTAGATGCACGAGCCAGAGCCCCAGCCCACGTGACATGCGATGATGATCACTACAATTGTTTGATCATACAGATGAAGATGAAGTACATAGTCAGCGCTCTCAACATTTTCCCCCCTTCGCGAACGAGGGCAGCAAGTTAGAAAGGGTTGGGACGCCGAATATACCGTTTCAGTCGAGAGATGTGGGCGATCTCGATGTGGCGGCGACGGCGACCAGGAGCCGCGTTGAAAGAAGCAACGCGATAGTTGAGTTCAGGTGTTCATTCCAGGACGGTATATGGACCAAGATATCGGGGAAGGAATTTTTCGCAGAGCCCAGGTGCACGAACAGGTGTCCACAAAAGGACTTCGTCGCCTGGGCGGAACACAACTCGACGCTTTGCATCAATGTCAGTGTTTCTCTTGTCTTGTATTGTAGCAGTGTTGGCGCGGGTGATTTCACGGCAGCTCTTCCGGGAGAGATGAAGATAGAACGGAAGATGTGGACAAAAAGGCGGTGTTCAGAACAAAAGTCGGTACACGGCCATACACGAGAAAAAAAGGGCTGAAATTCGTCTTGCGCTGTATGGCAGTATTATATGTTAACGTGACGAGAGAAAGTATAGTGTCCCAGTTCTCACTTTTATGAGTATAGTGTCCCAGTTTATAGTGACTTTGTGCATTTAGGTTGTATACCAGTAACTATTGGTTAGCTGCCCATTTGTAATAAGTTCACGTGTTACATGACGCCAAACAGGCTCAAAAGAGCGTGCCACACTCGCCCCCATGGCTACTGGTGGCACTGACTCACACTCCTACGTTTATTTAACATATAAACCCTATATTATTGTGGCAGGGGGGATGGCTGTCGTGGTAGCTCAAGTGGTCGAGCATCGAACGTGTCCTTCGAAGGTAGCAGGTTCGGATCCTGCCCACGGCAAGTTACCTTTTCGCCCACATTTCTTCTTCACATTTTCATCCTAATTCGGTTTATTATCTTCTTCTATACTTTCCTGAGCATGATTGTCTGTTAGTTCTCATTGTTATTGTGTAAAAACACGGAAAAACCAGCCCTTAAGTATACACTTCTTTCCTTAATTCATTAACGAGGGTCTCGTACAGGCACCCTTAGTGCCTTTAGGTTGTATACCAGGGACTACTGGTCAGCTGCCCACTCGTAATAAGTTCACGTGTCACGTGACGCCAAACAGGTTCAAAAGAGTGTGCCACACTCGCCCCCATTGCTACTAGTGGCGCTGATTGGCACTCCCACGTATAATTCACATATAAACCCAATAAGAATGTGGCTGTGAGGATGGCTGTCGTGGTATATTATAGCTGTATATAGTGCAGCCCGAAGTACCCCGAACAAATTCACTGTAAAATGAAAACATTTCTACTTCTAGTTTGCTTTCATTTTTTAGGACTCATGGGCATCAACTGAACAAAATAGACTTCTAATTCATTTTGCATAATTGGTGGCAGTAATTCTGCAGGAAAAACTCACCGGTTTGCTTTTTGTGGATTCAATCTCGACACAGCCGTAAAAGTTTCCCGGGTAGTTGGTGCCATTCGCGAATCCGGGACTGAGCACGTATCCCTCGGTTTGTCCGCTTATAATCAACTTCTTGCCATGTTTAATAGTCACACCGTCGAATTCATACGCCGAAGCACCTGGGAAGGGCCATCATGTTGTTATTTTGTGTCAAAGTGGCTTAAAGTGTTCATGAACAATGCTAAATCAAACAATACTGGCTTTCCCGTAGACGGCAGCATAATATTGCTACCGACAAAGCGATGTTCGACGCTAGCCGCAATCTGTAAATTAATATAACGCATGTCCGCAGGGGCATCAACACCAAGCTGTCCATATGGACGCAATCGTTTCCTATCACTGCGTCGGAAAAATCTTGAGTTTTGACAAACGTATGCTGCCACAACGCGACGCTGGCCAGAAGCATGGTACGGGTCAGTTGTTGGAAACACAATGTGTGAAATAAACGCAGATGAAGAAAGGCAAGCGACGTGGCGGGCGCGAACTCCAATGCTGAAGGCTAATGCAGGATCTAAGAGTACTACGCGGTAGAAAACATGGGCGAAAAAAAAAAACAAGGACAAGCGCCATCTTCGTTTTTTTCCCGTCCGTGTTTTCTAACACGTAGCACTCTTAGATCATGTATTACCAACTGGCCCAATCGTCCAATTTGATTAGCCAACGCAGGCTCAACACCACTTTGAAACGTTCCATTGAAAAAACAAACACAAACCCATATTGTGCTCATGAACTGTGGAACACAGCTTTGACAGGAAGCATCCGTTTTTGCATATCAACCAAATGATGGGTATAGCAAGCTTAGTAATAAAGCTTGGCTGGAGAACAACCGTAGCAAAAAAATATTAAACGCTCACGATAGGCTTAGGCTGATGCCCCGCCGCAGTGGTCTAGTGGCTAAGGTACTCGGCTGCTGACCCACATGTCGCGGGTTCATATCCCGGCTGCAGCGGCTGCATTTCCGATGGAGGCAGAAATGTCGTAGGCCTGTGTGCTCCGATTTAGGTGGACGTTAAGAACTCCAGGTGGTCGAAATTTCCGGAGCCCTCCAATATGGCGTCTCTCATAATCATATGGTGGTTTTGGGACCTTAAACCCCACAAATCAATCATCATCAATCAAATCAGGCTTAGGCTGAAAATATTACCAGGCTTTTCTGCACTCCAAACGTCACTCTCCATTGGCGTGCGCTGCAGTTTATATAAGCTGGAGAAAAGGCGCTGTTAGAAAGTGTAATTTAACAAAACAATTTGAAATTGCAGCTCCTTCAGGAGCAAAGTGAAAATAGAATGCACGCTTGGTCAGTACTAGCTATGTAGTACGGACACTTTGGCTACTTCTCTTTTTAGGCCGTTCTTAAATCTCTATAAGGTGACCGTTTTCTGAATTCGGCTTTGCGAAAAAAGCGGACTGCGCTGAAAAAAGAAACAACGATAAACCGCTATAAAACTGAAAACCCTTCAATCAAACAATAATCTAGTTTATTAGTGCTGAAAGAAAGGCATGCTAATGCGGGCTTGAACAACACGACCCATTTTGTCTTCTGGAAGAATGGGTCACTTTCGCTATTAGGCTGTTCTTTTAAAAGAAATATACTTTCTAGTGCGCAGGGAACGTTTTCGAAAGAAGAAATATAGGAAAGAGCGCACACTTATAATCATTTTATTGCACAGATGGCGGCGATATTGTCACGGGGTCGTGACGTGGCTGAAAGCAGAAGCCTGGATAGTCAGATCAAACTGTTTATTTTGACGAACCCGTGCCCAGTAAACAGAAAGTGGGCTTACAGTAGCACACTTGCACTGATAGCGGTGACTGCAGCGTCGGCCGCCGATCAACTGACAAGCAGCGAAGTGTGTCGGCATTTGTACACTTGCCATCAAACATTCTAGCTTTATCGCTTGTGGCGACGTTGGTTCCAGAATAATTTGAAAGATTCACGGAGTGGGGCGTAACCTTAACAAAACGATCTTTAAAGCCTCGAAGCTGTTCTAACGCCGTAGGCGTGGTTTGCGCTGCACATAGTGTAACATGGTGATAACAAAACTTGAAGAAAGGGACGTGGCATTGCCCCCCTCTGAAAAAGGCATCGTCCCGATGCCTTTACAGAAGATGAAAGTCCGAAAATGATGTAAGAAAGTATAAGCACTAAATTACAATAAAGCACTACCACCATCACCACCACACAACAACAACAACAACAACAACAACAACAACAACAACAACGACGACAACAACAACAAAATGCACTGAGCTCGTTAACGCGCACGAAACTGCTTGAGGCGCACGACATGGACCACCTCAGATCACGATCATCGTCGTTGAGAGTTTGTGATGCCGCCAGGAACGACCTCGTAATCGAGTCGGCCAAGCCGTCGAATTATCCTGTATGGTCCAAAATGCCGTCGCAGGAGTTTTTCACTGAGTTAACGTCGGCGTATAGGCGGCGATACTCAAACACGTTCACCGGGCTGGTATTCCACGAAGCGTCGTCGAAGATTGTAACGGCGGCTATCCATCATCTGTTCGTTTTTGATGCGTAGGTGGGCGAACTTCCGGGCCTCTTCAGCGCGCTGACGGTGCTCGCTCACATCCAGGTTTTCTTCGTCGGTGACATTGGGACGAAGATCAATCAATCTGTATTTATTCAATTAATTTAAAACAAAAGCGGTTACAAAGTATTTGGACGATTATCCTGTGTGGGTAGTTACTGCCAAGTAACAACTTGAGGCCTTAACTGCGCAACTCCCAGAACCATTTGATTTAGCAGGGGATTTCAACACCCACGGTACGCTATGGGGCAGTGACAAAACAGGCCGAGAAGGACAAATAATTGAAGATTTTATTTCGTTAAACAACATCTGTCTTTTAAACTCTGGTGCACCAACCTACTTTTCATCTGGCTCACACAAGTTCAGCTTCCTCAATGGAGCATTTTCCTCGCCATTGGTTTTAACCATTTTAATTGGCAAGTGCTGAAATCTTCGTACGAAAGTGTTTATTTAACCGCAATTATCAAAATACCACTGCCATTACCCACGATCACCTCCAAACCACGCCACTGACTAATCCATCTCGCCGACCAGCCCCTGTTCCATGAGAATGCCAAACTAGAACACATCTTTCCGCAGGCAATGAGCATCAATAAAATAAACGAGAAAATTATTGAGGTCATAATAGCAGCCACGGAAATGGCAATACCGAAATCGTCAAATCATGTTCGTGAAAAGCGAAATGTCTGGGAGATAAGTGAGTATACGGAATCAAAGAAGCTACAAAATAAAGCTCGCGGCATCCTTAAGAGGTACCCTATGTACAGCAACCTTTTGGACTTCAAACAGGTTAAAGCCAAGGCTTGATATATACGGTGGCAATCTGAAAAAACATCATGGCAGGACTACATATAATCTAATAATAGCGCAGTTGCATCCCAAAGAATGTAGGACCAGCTGAACAAGTTCGGGGAAATTAATCATCCTACACTATATTCATTCTTACAAGCCCAGACGTACACACAACAATACAAGATTTTGGCAGGTAATTGGTACAAATAACAAAAAACAAATCGACCTAGTTCCTGTGAGCGAATCATTTATTAAAAAAAAATTGTTGCCTAGTTCTTAACAGTGTATTCGCATCATCATTTGTAAACGTGGCGCCTACCACTGTTCCTAACTTGTCTACTCACAACTACGATCTAATGGAGCCAGTAAACCTGGATTGGGAGGGCATAAATAAATTAATTGGAAATCTCAAGCCCTGTTCTTTCCCCGGATATGATGGAATTAACGCCAAGTTTCTCAAAAACACCGTATTGTTTTCGTCCTTAACACTGTCCAGAATTTTTTCACAGTCTTTGGAATCCAGTACCCTGCCGAACGACTGGAAAGTGGGAAAGGTGGTTCCTCTTCACAATTCAGGTAACACCAACGATCCCCACAATTATAGACCCATCTCACTAACTAGTGTGTCATGTAAGCTATTAGAACTTGTCATTTACTCCAACTTAGTCAACGTTCTTGAGAATAATTCTTCTTTTACCGACATTCAACAAGGTTTTAGAAAAAGTTACTCGTGTGAAACTCAGCTCTTATGCTTTAGTAATGATTTCTTCTCTGCTATTGATCGTGGTACTTTTATTGATTGTGTATTTATTGACGTTTCTAAAGCATTTGGCACAGTTTGTCACGTATTACTACTTTTAAAGTTAAGTAAGCTAAATCTTGACCCACACATCTTGAAATGGATCGAGTGCTTCTTACAAAACCACGACCAATTTGTGACTGCTAATGAATGTAACTCTCCTCCTACTGCCGAAACCTCAGGTGTGCCTCAAGGCTCTGTTTTGGGTCCCTTATTTTTTTAGTATGAATTAATGATTTTCCTCATAACATTTCCTCCGCCATTAGGTTATATGCTGACGATTGTGTTATTCATCGCGAAATTTTGACCTCTAACGACACTGACACCCTGCATGCTGACCTGGACAATATTTATTCGTGGTGTAAGAATTGGCTAATGAAACTTAACACAGATAAATGCCAATCAATGAGGATAGCTCGTAACCCTTCAAAATTTGCGACCCCCTCGTACCTACTTAATAACAATCCCCTAAACAACGTTTCTTTTTACAAGTACCTTGGTGTTAACATTTCTAACAACATGTCATGGCAGGCTCACATTGACTACATTACATGCAACGCTAATCTAACTCTTGGCTATTCACGTCGAAATTTTTCTCTTGCTCTAATTAATCTAAAACTTCTCCTGTATCAATCATTAGTGCGGCAAAAACTCGAATATGCGTCGCCTATCTGGGATCCTCATATTCACATGCTGATAGACAACACTGAATTCACTCGGAATCGCTCAGCACGTTTCATATTGTCCAACTACTCTCGAACTGCAAGTGTCACATTAATGAAGGCTCAACTCAATTTGTATATCCTCTCAATACGACGCAAAAGTTCCCGTCTCTGCCTCTTTCATAAGATCTATCACACTAACAGAACCCTCTTTGATTAACTGTTTTTTCCACCAGCCTACATATCAGCACGCAATGACCATCACTACAAGGTTGGGGTTCCCTTCGGCCATACAAACCAGCACTTCAACTCTTTCA